ACTTTTCTTGAATCCAGAACACAAAATTCAGTGTTTTGCCAAAAAAAAACGTTTTACTTATAAGGTTAATCCATGTTCAAAATGTATTGGTATTTGAAGTACAAACTTTAACCCTGAGCTTTCAAAGCTTCTAAAAACCGTGTAAACATTGGAGCCCCCTGGGGCTGCTGCCTGTCCCAAGCCCGGATAAAGGAGGAGGTTTGGTCATTGGGTTAGCGACCACACCCCATAGAAAACGCTAACCAGAAAAAAATATTTAAGTAAAGTAAAAAAGTAGTCGGCCAGTAATAATAATAATAATAAAATCTTTTGATTTTTAGGAATCCTTTGGGGATTTACAAAGAACTCTAGTCGATAGCAGTAAATTCACCATCTTCCAAATTCTCGAAAATCTTTTTTTGAGGATTTACCGAGTAGTTTAAAAATCCCCATAAAATATTGAAAAATGAAGAAAATTTGAGCGAAAAGTTGTTTTCCCTAACTTCGTTAGATTTTACAGTTATAAGTCCATAATTGATAACACAGCTCTTATTACATATTATTTGACAGAACTATATTATTATTACTAATTACATTATTACATCAATTAATAAGATGAAATTCTGCTATTATATATTTTATTCACACGATTCTTTTTTTCACTTCTATTGTATTACTGTTATACAGTTTGTGACTTGACACTACTCTAAATCATTTTGACCTTGATTAACTGACCTTTCTAATTTACACATGATACATGCGTTTATATCAGTGAATTAAGGCCATTTTAAAGAAAATTATGATGAATGAATATGCAAAATTTACTAAATGATCAGCTAGTTACTCTATTAATAGTGTTCAAAGAAAATAAAACATAAAAATGTCAAGTAATTAACCATGTACGTGGGAACAAAATGTATAACTTGGCTACCGAGAAACATGAATTACTTTTCTTAATATCATGGGACAGAATTCATATTGAGTTCTTTCTTGATAATACTAACTGTGGTCCAAATACTTTGGCAAAGGATAGGCGTAAACACGCTAGCTGGCGAAGGTACATAACATTTTAGCTTAGAGGGCTATGTCACCGTACTTTGAGACTACCAAACACTGCCTGTCCATTATTTACTTACTTACGCCTGTTACTTCTAATGGAGCATAGGCCTGTCCATTGCCCGGGTATAAACGAAGTACGTTTAATTATAACTTGAGACACTATAACATAATACATTTGAGTTGGCATCCACAAATCCACATTCACAACTTCATTTGATTTGCGATGTAATTAAAAATTTATTTTATTCTTTATCGAGAAGTGATTAAAGTGTAATCAATAAGTTGATGATTCAGTTCTTCTCGATTTCTAGTGAAATCACTTCATGATGAACACAATTTTTAAATCGTAAAATTATTCATTTAGTCTCTTTATAAACGTTTCTAATTTAAAAGTTAGTTTTATTATCTCTAAAATTGAAATTTAATATGTCTAGTTACCAAGGTTATATTGAATGCTAGACAAAGTTCATTGTCCATGGAGTAATAAACATTTAAAGTTTAATTACAAGTATTAAAACGAAATTGTTTGAATGTCTTTAGCTACAATGTAGGACCAGGCACATATATGCATCGGTCCAAATTGCCACACCTTATTGCTTCACAACAAGATTAACACCGAATTCGTAGAAGGTGTTACTTCAGTGGGAGTAATATATAAAGAAAGATTGTGTATAAGGATATAGTACGGGAAGGAAGAATTAGTTGGTAGAAAGAAAAAAAAGCAATTTCAATCTCACAGTTTAAGGGAAGACAGAGAGTGTATACACTTACGCCATTGTGATTGATTCTGAGCCATGTCACCCAGAGTCTCCAACCATTAGTTACAATAGTCACGCGGACCCCAACCAAGTAATCTGCATCTTCTAACATGGTTAAAACTAAAAGTTAATGACTTCGAGCACTGATGCTACGTTTTGGTTTGACTGCCTCTAAGTTGAGTGAATGAATATTACATTTCTCATTGTCGTATTCTTGAATTATTATTATCTCTTTATAAAAATAAGCAACTATTGTGTTATTTAAAAAAAGTGAATGTATGAAATGTTAAATTTCCGACATTCAAATGGCTCCACCTTCTCTCCTAAATTATTATTCACTTAAAAAACAACAATATATCTGATTCAGTTATTATAACATTGTCTACTGTTTATCTATTAGACAACTTTCAACTCATACACATATACAGACAAACTGAAAAATATATATGTTAAGATCAAACTGGACTCACACAAAAAATGCACTGAAAAGTATAACCGAAAAACATGAATAAGTAAAAGAACATCCAATTGAATTGTACACTATTGTCTTTAAAACAATCATTATAATTAATAATTGAATGAATTACTTTTTATTTATTTATGATCATTGAAAGATATTACTCTTTTTTTGTTTTCTTAATTGAATATAATCCATATGTTTTTCTAAATTATATTTAAAAAAATATTATTGACAAGTAAATGTGAATAGTTTAAATGTACTTCAAATTTAAACAAAAGAAGATACAGCACTCAATCTGTGTTAATTAGTAAACTAATGAAATGGCTTCCTATTTATTTATTAAAAGTTACAATAATTAAATGAATGTGTAATTGGCGCCATTTAATGAAATTTTGTAAGATTTTTTTTTTTTGATGGATGAAAAATACTTAGAATGATCATTTTCAAGTTACTAATTATTTTGTCATGTACAAAAAAATAGTTAATTTAAGTAGTTTTGTTTAATAATGAGAATATTTGATAAAATATAGTTGTAGATGATCGGTGAATGTGTCGTTTAATGCTATATGCTTACATATGATCTATTCTAAACTTAATAAACAGATAATGCTCTTTAACCGTCTCGATTGTCTACTGTTTAATTAAACTTTAGTGTGTTTACTAACAAAAAAATACTCTGGTTAGGGTAATAATCAAATGTAAGTGCATCTGATGATAGAGTGATAACTTAGTTTAATATATATTTATCCGTACCATTCAAACTGTCAGACTGTTACCATGTGTTTTACTAAAGATGGTGAATACAATACTTATTCCTTTAGCAAACGATTAATGTTTCACAGTTGTACACTTGAACACTGTAGAGTTTCTGAATCAAATTTGCTTTCGTTGACAGTAATCGTGACTAATTTTATTCACAACTGGTTGGTTGAAATGTCTTTAAGATTTCTTTGTTGTCCAATGAACATATTTATAGTTTATAATGTATCCTGAACTCCTCTTAAATATATATAAAGCCATCTATGATAAACTATTATCTAAATAGCCACATTTGTAACAAAATTACTCAACAATCGAGTTTAGTTTGAACTTGATATTATTTTCTGGGTTGATGCTTTCAGTTTATCATTAAACTAAATAACTAAATTGTATAATTAACGTCAAGAGAACAACCAGTAGCAACATAATTTTGTCTTAAATATCTATTTAATCCGTTCATTTATTTAAGATGAGTCAATATGAAAAGAAGAGAAATTTTATAACAATTAAACTAGACAGTTCCTCAGAATTTGAATGTCGTTACTTATCATCTATATAGATAAATACATATTTGAATAGAACAAGACTTAACAAAGTGGACATGAATCTGTCAAAATCAATTGAAATAAAGGTAATTGATGGTTGGATTATTTGGGAGAAAGAGAAAGATAAGAATAAATCATATAGTTAATCAATAGACAAATAGGTAGAATAGAAATATTGACAGTCATTACTCTTACAAATTCTGGCAGTGTATTGTTTGGGTTTAAAGAAGTATCAACAGTACTGTAATGTGTTTTCCTAAAAAATAGAGTAAACAAGCGGCAGTAACAAATGTCATATAAACACGGCATATATCATTAGTTTATTTAGACAAATAATGAGAGTAATTTGAAATTTCGGCTTGTTTTTAAAAGTCGTATAAGCTACTTGTAAAAACGTTTAACGTATGATATTTTAGATACTCTATTGCATAATTTGTTTTAGATATTTATAAGCAGACTGCTCTTTGAGTTATGCAAGTATCTGTTATTAAAAAATTTCTGAAAAAAACGTTCTTTATGCTTTGTCAATATATCAGAATCTAAGTACTCTCTAGATTCTCTGTATTTATTTCCATGTAACATTATAATTACATTTGAATTGTAAATTTCAAATAAGATGGATCCATTATTCGATGATAAGAGAAATTGTTATGTAACTGATGATCTTCGTCTTTTTATTACACTATCGAAATGTTATGTAATTGTAAACGGCTAACCTATATATGTGATTTCTATAGTGTCCATTCACTGTCATTGAATTCGCATATTATAACAAACTTCCTAGGAAAATGAGACTAATTTCTATTGACTTAAAATGGCTACAACATGTAATATTTTAGAATTTAACACTAATATTAGCCAACAAAGTGCAAGCTTTAGTAAACTCTTCATCAATAAATTAATTATCCGAATTTTCGTTAAAGTGTTAAATTATAAACAACCTCAGATAACTTAAAATATAACTATAGAACAGACATTTATATTAAATAATCCAATCATATGTAATCTTCAGAAGATAAAAAATAATCCGGCCATTTCGTCCTATTGTGGGAAACCTCAACAGTCCACATCCATGATCCCGCCTCGCCTCACGAGATTTCAACGCTGAACCTACCAGTCTCACGTGTGAGCGCTTAACCACTAGACCACTGAATCGGTCGGCATCTAACAGTGTTAATGTCTCACTTCAACTAATCCACGAAATTGAGCGATACATCCACCATTGTCATCAGTGAGTTACTATCTCACAACAGACCCAGTTGAACTCCACTGGTCAATAAATATATTATTGAATAGCATCAATAAACTAGTAATTCCTACAACCATATATTTTGATACCTGAATATAATTTCTAATAAATTTGGTTTTATCAACATAAATGCATGAAAGATTCGTGTTTATTTGCACAAATATTTCACGTTAAGATTTAAAAAAACTAACCGTTTATTGATTAACTCTTGAAATGTTTCCTGATATTTCCATGAAATTTATCGTTATCTAATTGATGACAAAAAAACCAAAAAAAGAAAAAATGTTTGTGAGAAATGACTTAACTGTAGAACAAGTGGTAAAAAACTACTTTAAATCTGAATAATAATAAACCGGAATTATCGATTCTTACCTTTCATTATTATTTACTAAGTTGATGATATACTAACGCATATGAACAATATTTCATTTTCTCATTGCACACAATTATTCAAGTCTTTATACGTTAAAGTCCAGGTTTACAAAAACTATAAGAATCTAGGTGAAGTGATTTGGAAAAAAGTTATTTTATCGTTCACTTATGGGTGATATCGTTTCAATGTATACATATATTTTAAACGAATATAAATGCTTGCAAGTAAATTCAAATCGATTTAACAAGTTAGTGATTATCTAAACTTGTTAGCCTAGTTTTCTTACTTGTCAACTCTTAACATCTACATCATAGTTTTGGTCCAACCTGCTGATAAATTTTCAGTTGGACGAAGCACGTTTATTGAATCCCACTGTAAACTACATTTCAACTGAACTAAAACTTGTGATAAAAAAACACTATATAGAGTCAACCCAGAACAGGATAATCATATGCTAACAAAGACTTATTAAACGCTATGAAGAATATCAATAATGGGAGCATGAAGTTTTTTTAGAAATTAATCCTAGTTTGAAATAAATTGTTAATGTATATTTTGGACAACAATATTGGACTTGAATGTATTGCTAACATTCAATTTTCATAAACGCTAATATAGATAAAACAATTAATTATTAACAACAGTTGTTATATTGTTAGTAACTGAAATTGTTACACTAGATCTTACATAAATATACGTTTGTCCTTGTGAAAAAAAGAGTATGGAAGACAGTGAGAATATAACCGACAGAAAGTGATGAAAAAAACATAACGAAATATTGCAATAAACCAATAATTCCTTCAAATAAATCCTTAAAATAGTTAGCAGTAAAGGTAAATGTAACTATATTCAAGTAGACTTATCGAGATATCCAGAATAATCCTTTAAACGTCATAAATAACGACATACCAAGTACATGCATATTCACATTCATCAAATCCATAACTTTGCAATAAACCTAATTGATTGCATTCCATATTTCTTTCATTATTTTTTTGTTCGGGAAAGAAAAACAAAACAACTGTTTTAGTAAACATAAAAAGCAAAACACAATTCTATACAGTATTTTTACAAGCTTTCATCAATATATTTTATTTTGTTTCTTTGTTATCCATTAGTTTAAACCTTTGTTTACTTTTAAATTTTCTTCTATCCAATATTCCAGTTTTGTCTCTATAAAGAATCTTTATCTAACTATTTCATTTTGTACCAGATTTCATTGTAATTATTAATGTCCAATGAATAAACAATAAACAAGGCAACTAGTATACTAATAATATACAAACTTGTTATATGTTTATGAACATGGGATAGAATGGTAATAAACCGTAAAACAAATTTATGCATTTATTATTTGCCGAAAATTCCGGTTTATATATATATCTACGCGATAAATTATTTACTCTTCATTGTCTCTCTGTTCATTGTTTAAATTTATTTTAATTAAATTTCATGGAATTTTCAAATTTTTCTTTATAGGTGAATTTTGGCCAATAAAATGACAATGTGATAAGATCAACTGGATAGGAAATTATAAAGAGGAGATTGTAATGATATAATTTTTAATTAAAATGTTGATATGGGTGGATAGGGTAAAACGACAGAATTTATTCTTGTTGCTATGTTAGTTAACAATAATTTTTTTTAAAGATAAGAAAAATAATTCGTTTATGCAAACCGGATATGGAATGAAAGTAAACAATGACAGATGGAAAAAAAATGTGAAAAGAATATGAGTTGTTATTTCAAATTTATCGTTTTCAATATTGAAACACAGTTGATATCTTGTGAAAATATATTAGTGAGATATCCTCTGAAGTAGACATGTCAGTTTAGATGATATTAACTAGTGATAAAACTTTGAATGGGAAATTTGCACAAATTCATGCAAACTTTTCGAATGAAATGACGATTGTGTACCATAAAACTGAATACCTTGGATTTTATTTGACAATTTAAACAATAATCTAACAAATGATCGCTGCTTTTTGGTTTAAATTGTTTATTCAAATGACATGACCACGTGGTAAAAAATCGTCTTTGAAATGTTTGAAAATCATTTAAAAGTACTTCTGTTGGCGAAGAAGTAAGAACTGTTTTCTGTGCAAAAAATCAGACTTTATCCTGTAATTACTTATAAATTTACTTATGTACTGAAAAGTGATTCCGAGCATTTTTGTGTACATAGTCTAAGAGGAATTTTAAATCAGTCGATTTTAACTGTTTCATAGTTAAATGGTAAGGAAAATGTGGTTTTTTAGATTGATTAAAACTCATATTAACAAGTTATTTTTATTTTTGAATGTGGAATAATTCCATTTTTCAACAAATTCATCCAAATATGAAATTCAACGCATGACATTTCCCAGTTTCAATCATGAACTAATATCTTAGCAAGATTGTCGATGGAAATAGGGAAGCACCGAAAGGCCCATTTCTTTCTAGTATGAAACTCTTCGGCAGTGCACATCAACGAACCTTAAGTCTCGCGTGTGAACACAATCTATAGACCGCTGACCTAGCATCCAACGGCGTTACTGTCTAATTTCAATTAATTCATGATATCACACAACTGTTATATATTGCTTGTTTTAGATAAATGATCATAACTTCTCATTAGGACTCCTGGAGCTACATTTTTATGCGAGTCATTAATGAGCATATAGTATAATGGGTTTATGGAAACTGTAGAAGTTTTATTGATTAACTCACGAAGTGATCTTAACTAGAGCACTGTTGAAAACCTATGATATATTATTCAATATATTATTTAAGATCAATAGCTTCTATCTTGAATACATCGTTTCAGATTTAATTTCTACTAAAACTTACTTAAAAATTTCTATCATGAACAAAATTATTCATACTTAGTAGATCAAAGTATATTAAAACACGGTGAGACTACAATTTATTGGCAACTTTTGAGCGACATCAAAGTGACCTTGAGATTGTCCACTTAATAACTAGAACTAAATGAGAGTTATAAACCCGTGTGTACATTTCAAATTATGATTTATAATTGACGATTAAGGTTAATAATTATATTTAAGTTTTTCATCATGAGCTGACATCAACTATAATGCCAAAATTATATTTTGCCAAATTGATGAATGAATTTAGTGTCAAAATTCAAAACCTTTTCATGTTATACCTGACTGATTCGTCCATAAATTATAGACTCACCATGTTAAATATAATAAAAACTTATATCATAGAATTAAATAATTGAATAATTGATTTCTTATTAATTTAATTCTAATTAAAAATCAATAGACATAAATCAATCATCATGATAATAATAAGTTTTCCCATAAAAATTTTTGTTTTAAATTCTAATTTTGGTAAATTTTAATTTAAATAATCAATATTTAAAAAAATAATTAATATAGAATATATATTTATTTAGTTAAACAAACTATACAAAACTTAGAACAGTATAAACTATAGCGGAAATTAAATTAATATTTATAAATAGAAATAACTCAATATATACACTCTCAATAGATAAATATTGAACATTGAAGAAAAAAAGAGTAGGATTTAAATAACCAGAAAAGTATGATTTAAAAAAAACAAACAATTTAAATAATTATTTATTTCAATGGTTAAGATCATGAGTCAGTTGAAGCTAGACCACCATGGAAAAACCTGGAAGCACTGGACGGCCGTTTATATTTAAATATCTATGAATCATATATGAAATATAATATAGTTAAACAAATAATACTGACATTTAAAAAAATCGATTATTTTGGAATACTGACAAGAAAAACAAGTAGTATGTTGAATGTATACTTATATCTACTTAGATAATATAATATGTATTATTATATTATATTTATTTACAGGTCATTGATTACATTAATTAATAAATAATTAAGGATGAATGTATAAAAGGATAATATTAAATTTAACTTAAAAATAATCACTTGTATCTTGAATCTATGTAAAATAATATAATTAAATTGGGAATGAATATTTTGAGAAAAAAAATAAGGTTAGTAAAAGATTTCACTGACATTTACAAAATATGTTTTAAATAAATTTGATGAATTTTTGCTAATAGAAGCAAGTTTTAAAAACTCTGTACAAGAGGTATATCCTGGAGACCTAGTGAGAAGCAGTGACCAGTGGAGTTCAACTGGGTCTGTTGTGAGATAGTAACTCACTGATGACAATGGTGGATGTATCGCTCAATTTCGTGGATTAGTTGAAGTGAGACATTAACACTGTTAGATGCCGACCGATTCAGTGGTCTAGTGGTTAAGCGCTCACACGTGAGACTGGTAGGTTCAGCGTTGAAATCTCGTGAGGCGAGGCGGGATCATGGATGTGGACTGTTGAGGTTTCCCACAATAGGATGTAACGACCGTCCAGTGATTTCAGTTTTTCCATGGTAGTCTATCTTCAATCGACTCATGGCCTCAATTATTTTACTCACTAATTAATGATAAATGTATAAAAGGATAATATTAAATTTAATTTGAAAACAATCACTTTTATCTTGAATCTGTGTAAAATATTATAACTAAATTTTGAATGAATATTTTGGAAAAAAAGCAAAAAAAAAAGCAGAAACAGGTTAATAAAAGATTTCACTGACATTTACAAAATATTTTTTAAATAGATTTGATGAATTTTTGTTAAATAAAAGAAAATGTTAAAAACTTTTAAATAATGAACAAGTAATTCATTAGATAAGTAGATGACTAAGAGACTAACTCTTTGGAATGCTGAGACTATAATTTATGAACGACCTTTCAGAGACGCTCAAGTGAACTTGATAGTGTCCACTTAATAACTAGAACTAAATGAGAGTTATAAACCCGTGTGTACATTTCAAATTATGATTTATAATTGACGATTAAGGTTAATAATTATATTTAAGTTTTTCATCATGAACTGACATCAACTATAATGCCAAAATTCTATTTTGCCAAATTGATCAGTGAATTTAGTGTCAAAATTCAAAACGTTTTCATCTTATACCTGATTGATTAGTCCATAAATTGTTGTCTCCCCTAAGTAATATACAAGAATAATTTCATGGTCTGAGGCAATATACTGACTGAAAACGTAATAAAAAATTTTTTTAGGACTCGATTCCTATATCTTTTTGGGTGGAAATAAGTAAATATGTTATAACTTTAATAATCAGATGATAAAGATTGCGATAATAGTGAACGAGATTTGAGATTCCACTAAGAGTTTAGAACATTATTATTATTCTTTCGATGCTATTGTGATTGATATCTATAAATAACAAATCAATTTACAACAGTATTAGTGAAATAGTAAAGTCATTGTTAGAAATTGTTAAGCTAGTCAAAACTTCACTTCACAGAGAATCATGTTGATACTTTGATACTGAGTTAAATCCTTTCGGTTTACGCTATTCATGTTTAATACATTTGTGTCAAAGTTTGGTTACTATCTGCTAACATCAGTGTATAGATATTCTTACATAAAACAAGATTTTGATCAAAGCTATTACTTAAATTGCCTTTATTCACCAAGATTTTATTACAACTCCATATGCTAAAATGAATAGACAAAAAATACCGGATAAGACTGACGTTGTAAATAACATAATTAGACGTTAGAGTAAGAAAAAAAATTTATATGTCATGACAGATCATTTCCCTACTAATCACTGTCAGTTTTATCAATTAGACATTGACAGCTGACTAACCCTTGGTAACTGAATGTCATAGTTTGATTATCAGTATAACAGTTCATTTCATTTTAAAAAACAGTCATTAAGCCATTATTCATTAATTATTTCATGTTTAAAGTTGTATGATGCTGAGATACACTTGTAATTTATGTTATTTTGTAATACAATTTTTCCATGTTTAACTCGAATTGTTTTCGGTTAAGGAATATTCATTTTATAGGATTGCGAAATGTACAGGCAACTTATCAAAGATTAAATTTCGACGTGTTCTGCATCGATCTGTGACGTATTTCCTAGAAATTTTTGATTAACATAAACTGAAGAATTTCAAGTTCATTAACTTGATCAATACCATTTATTTTATTCGTTCCGTTCAGTTGTGATTTTAATAAAAATTATTCAATTGTTAAGTTAAATGCTTGAACATAAAATTAATGGAACACGATCACTGATTTGTTTGATTCAAATGCAAATCGATATTGATTCAATATTGACGCCATTAACTGTATGAAGAAATATTATATAATCTTTACAGTTGTTGAATTTTAGATTTTAATTACATTCATTAAATCACCAATGTACAAATTAAAGAACTAGACACAAATTACTTTGCTCAATTGATTAGGATAATTTTAATTATTTAACAAATATTCCTTTTATTTTGTGTAAGACATTATCGGTATAAACAATTTACTAAATAGGAGAACATAACAAAGAAAAGTCAATAATAATGATAGTCTAATTTAGTAAATTTCAAACTATAGACTAATCATAGATGTAATAATTATGAAAGTTTTTTTGTATTTCCCTTTAGATAAAGATTAATAATGACAAAAATAACCATAAATTCATATACCAAATCATAAATGAACGAAAATTTACTAATGAAGGAAAGGGTTGTAAGCTAATAGAAATTCACTTTACAATAGCGTTTTCATAAATGTCAATAACCATCATCGTCATCATCATCCATATCTTCATTAACTAATTTATATTGTCTGAAAAATTTGCATAATATAACTTTTAGTTTCTTTTTTTTTCATATGAAGTTTGTATACTTGTATACGAATATGATGTGAATGGTGTTTTTAACCTTCCTAATATAATATACTAGTTACTCCATAGAATATCAATAACAAATAAATAAATAAAATGGGAAAATAAATGTTATATCTTCCGACTGGGATTTTTTTTGTATTGACTTCCCAATTTTTTAGAATGATTTCAAGAATCCTAGAAGATGAGAGGGAAAAATATTACTTTTGTATGCACTTAAAAAAGTAAACTGAATTGTAAATTTTAAAAATACACTTGATCAATTGATTTGCCAACAAAAAAAATAATCCGCGATTAGAAATTACTAATCTTTTGAGAAAAACAAAAGTCAGAAGGGCTTTTGCAGAGATTTTCGAAACTTCATTGATTGAAATCATGAGTTCTAATGAGAAGCCGTTACCAGTGGAGTTCAACCTGGTCTGTTGTGAGATATCAGCTCGTTGAAGACAATGGTGTTCGGAGGCGCAACTTCGTGGGTTGGTTGATGTTAGAAATTAACACCGTTGGATGCCGGCTCAATGGTCTAGTTGGTTAAGCGCCTGGTGCAAGACTCATATGTCCTGGGTTCGAATCTCGCGGGGTGTGGGATCGTGGATGCGCACTGCTTGGGAGTCCCATACTGGGACGAAACGGCCGTCCAGTGCTTCCAGGTTATCCATGGTGGTTTAGCTTCAATTGACTCATGATTTCAATCAGTGAAAAACAAAATGTTTATCAGCATTTTCTAGTATGTATGATTAAATACGAGCAACAGTTTTGTTTGTACGATAAAGGAACTTAAAAACGATGGATCATTAAAAGGAAGGATTATTTAAATAGTTTATATTCTACAGGTTAACTTGAATATGTTTTATTATATTTGATATATGGCTAGTAGTGTAATTCAGAACAAATATGTTGTACTATCTGTGCCTTGACAACTGGATAAATCAGCATTCCATTGTTAACATACGCACTTATACTCGAACCCAGTATCTTCAATCTCAAACATTATCACATGGACACTAACCTGTTCATTAGTTCTTAATGTATGGTTCTGATCTTTCGTAGTCAGATAACTCAAACAATGTTTTCGAAAAAACAAGCTTTGAAAACTATTTTTGTCTCATGTTAGAGCCAGTCAAGTAACAATTAAGAATTTGGACCAGAGGACTTAAATGTTTTGGACTCATTTATTTAAATTCGTACTTTTGATAACTTCTGCTTTGGTTTTGTTTCATAAAAATTTATGAAATAAAAATTCAGTTAGTTAAAAACAGTTTTTTTCGGAATTCAAAGTTATTGAAAAGAAACACATGGTTACTTCATTTAGATTTCAAAACACTTGGATAACTATTAATATTTTCCAACTTAAGTATACATAGGTGACGGTTAACAGTATAAAAAATGACGAGCCTTAAAAACATTTCTTGAGGTCTTCACATGTTGTTTCCTGCTCTCATTCAGACTATAT